TGCGTATTTGAGGTAGACATTCAAAAGTTATCAAAATAAAGTTTGCAGTGAACGTTAAGAAAATGTTTGCTGTTTGTTATTTGAACGTGTGTATTAAACGTTCAAGAACTGTAAATTGAAGTTCACTAAAGTTGGTTCACGTAACGTTTGCAGCGAACATTACTTATTAAAACTCGTTACTCACGTAACGTTTGCAGCGAACATTACTTATTAAAACTCGTTACTCACGTAAAGTTTGCAGCGAACTTATTAAAACTCTGATTAACTTGGCCTTCAAAATCAACAGCAACTGGGCAAGTTTTCATTAAGTTATTGTAAATGTTAAACAAAATGCTTTCCGCTTGAACTTAATTGACAAAACCTAAAAATTTTACTAAACAATTTTTTTATTACTAAAGAACACATATCATATTCAAAACCGTCTGATACACGGCCTTCTATAATAACAGGCCTTGACGTCGCGCAAAACACCGTAAAAACTGAAGGCCGATTAAACTTTCACTTACAAAAATATTGATGTTTTTATATTTGGTAGGGCGTAATGGCAGTCTGTGTTTTCTAATAAAAAATCTCTAATAAAGACGGAAATATAAAAAGAAAACCAAAAAATTGTTAAAAGAATTATATTTCAAATTTCATTAAGAGTATTAATGTAATATTAAATAGTATCAATAATAGTAATAATAATATCAGTAATAGTATCAATAACAAAAAGAATTATAATAATATATATTAGAAAGATAATTATATAAATAGCATAAATTACAAAACTAATTTTCATATAAATTATGACAGCTTTAGTTTTTTCGTTTTAGATTCTTTGCTACTGCTGCGAGTGGTAACTATTGCATAATTCTTTAACAAAATATTAGAATATACTCTGCATTGTTTTTTTGTGATTTTAAATTTATATTTAGCTGCAATGAACTGAAACTGAGTAACACAAAATGTTTTGCATAAAGGGTCACCCTGCATAAAGGGCCAGTAGCACCTTGAAAAAACAAAAAGCAAAATATTGACCATTGGACTAGAGTATCTGAAGGAATTTCAAGTCCGCTTCTGTTTAGGCTATTCAAATAACTTCCATATATAATAATAATTGTTAGTGTCATCATTAATCTTTATTTCGCTTTTTTGCACATAGCCAGCTATGTAAACTATAGCCACTAATGTAGATTTATTAATTGAGCTTTCAAGATCATGTATATTATCCAGCAGTTCTTTTTCATCAGTAAAAATATCTCTAAAACATGTGTAACAAGTATGACCATCAATACCATCAACAGGAATGTCAAATTGTAGTATCAATTTAGTATGTTGAATATTAATTTTTACAGACTTAGCGTTTATAAAGTAAGTACCTTCAGATCCCTGTCGAAGTTTAGAAAAACGAGTAAGCTGTTTTACACGCTTACCTGTAGGTTTCATGTAACTAGACAGTTCAGCAATACTTTGTAGCAGTTGTAACTGTTGGTCACCAACAGAGTGGATTTCTCCACATAATTCATTTTTAAACCGAATGCCAGCGCCAGGTGCTTTGACATTTACAACATTCCAAAAAGAAATAATTTTTTCAATAAATACAGCAGTACCTTCAAATGCTTTATTTTCAATCTCTAGATGTGTTCTTAATGCAGCTACTGTTTCTTCGCAAAAAACAGACAAACAAAACTTTACAGATTGTCTCTCTATTGGTTTTGGATAAACTGATTTAGCTGTGAGTTTAGAGAGTTTAAAAAAAAATATTGCACTCAGTTTTATATAAAGTTTCTAAATCACTCCATTTAGCCAAAGCTAGTTCTCTATTGTTCAAAAATTGAAGTTGGCCAGTCTTTTCTGTTAACCAATTGTTTCGTATAGATTTCAAGAGATGCGCATAATCATACAATAAATATATACCTGATGTTGTTAACCATGGTTTATTATCAACTGTTTCAAACATTTCAAAAAACCTTTGATTTACACGGTTACCATCAGTAATTATTGCCAGTGTTTTACTATTTTCAATATTATTTATTGTATCAACAATTTGTTGACATTGAGTAAATTGAATTTCAGAAGAAAGATTTGCAACAGGTTGAGCTCTACATATAAATTCTGGACCACCAAAAAGACATTTAATCATAAATGATAAAATTGTTTTAGCTAACTTTTCAGGGTAGTTTACTGCTTGACCAAACAAAGCACCTCTTTGGTAAAGTAATGAAGCTTTAACATAAACCTCATCAATTAGTAGTATGGAAGTTCTTTTCAATGGATCTAAATTCATAAAAATACTATTTACAAAATTTAGGTCCTCCATCGAGCTTATTTTTGAAGTCAATCGTGTTAAAGTCCATATAGTCGGCAACTTGCAGTCAATACATAAACGATCATATAAACTTCGTTGCATAGCAAAATACTCATATGCTCTACATATAATATCTGGAGTATATAAAACTTCACCAACATTAACTTTTCTCATAGCATTAAGGTGCTCAAATAAAATATTTGACTGATGCGAACTTTCTTTATTTTTTAAAAATCTAACTGCTTCAAATAAAGCTGATTTTGTTTTTATTAACTTTAATTTGTTTACAGTTAAAGATAAAATATTACAAGTTGTGCCATTATAGTAAGCTACAAATGAATAATCATCGAAAATTTCTAAAATAAATAATGGAACACCAAGTTTGGACATTTTTGATTGTATGTGTATACTTTTTTTATTAAGCTGGAAAACAATAACATCGTTATTATCACTTAACAAAGATTGAATATCGTCAAATATAAGTTCATCCTTTTTTAGAAATCACTTAACTCATCTGGTAGATTGTTTCGAAAACCGCTTGAAGTTACAGTTTTTATAACTTTACTTGCTGGTGTGGGTAAACAACTAGTTGGTATATTTTTAAAAACAGATGGTGGATTTAAAGGCCGTTGCTTCCCCTTTTCTCTTTCGCATATAAACAGTACAAGCTACGTGGTTCGTGTTATTAACCCACCTATCAAGGAGTATCTTAAGAACCGCTCATCTAAACGTCATCAAAGTTACCTCAATTTAGGTTCAGGTAAATAATGTTCTAATAAAACAATAATTTAATGTATAACTTGTCTGTATCCGATTATAAGCTCATTTGAAAATGACATTTTTTTAACACGATTTTTTATTATATTTTGTTAATTTTTAGAACTATGCCTCGAAATTACAAGAGAAAGGAAAACAGTAGAGCTTATAAAACAAGTTATACAAAAAAAGACTTAGAAATAGCTTTAATTAAAATTAAAACCAAGGATTTAGCTTCAGGAAAGCTTCAAAAAAGTACAATCAAATCAAGTTCCGAAAAGTACAATCAAATCAAATTCCGAAAAAAAACGGCGGACAAACCAGACTTGATAGTATAACAGAAAATTTATTTGTCCAAACAATTGTACATATGACTGATTGGAGGGTACCATTTAATTCTTTGGGTATAAGACTTTTAGTCAAATCATATTGTGATAAAAGGAGTATAACTGACGCTCGATTCAAAAACAATATGCCTGGGGTAGATTGGGTTCAGTCTTTCATGAAGAGACATAACTTAACAAACAGGGTTGCTGGTAATGTTAAGCACAGTAGAGCCATGGTCAATGAAGATACCCTTAACAAATATTTTTATAATTTGTATAAAGAGTTGAAGGATATACCTCCAGAAAATATCTATAACTATAATGAGACCAATATAACAGACAATCCAAGTTCCAAAGCTTTGGGCACCGTGTCGAAAAAAAACAAGAACATTCGAAGCAGTCGACCAGTTTAATGTTTTCTGGCAATGCTGTTGGAGAGTTTTTGCCGCCCATGGTAGTTTACAAAGCAAAGAACCTTTACCAGGGTTGAACTCAAGGTGGACCACCTGAAACTGTTTACGACATCACCCCTAACGACATCACCCCTACTTTGTATGCAGCATCTGTGAGTCATTTAAAGAATTTGAGGATAGTGATATTTAATTTTCTGTTTTTATGTAGAACAGATTTGTAAATATTGTGATACATGTTAATATATTGAAAAAACTAGTTTTTAAACATAGTATGCTAATTTTTCACATAAACTTAGTTTAAATAAAAATATGTTCTATGTAAAATAAACTTCATGTTATCTGTTTTGATCTTTAACAGTTTTTTCCCCCATTGTAATAAGGTAATATAGCGATATACTAGAATATAGAAATAATATGTAGTGTTCAAAGTCACCCCAAATTGGCCGTTCATTTTCACCCCGTTTCGGAAATACGTATATGCTCGTATAAAACCAGAAAACTAAGGTATTTACTGCATAGTGTTGATCAGGCTTACGACTAATACAGGAAGCTGAGTAGTATAATGTTCTGTTACAGAAAAAATGGTTGCGATTAGGCCAACAGTTTTATTTCATGATGCAAAAATGTTCAAAAAGCGTTCATATTCACCCCCGTTTACGGTACTTTAAACTGCTCTTTCAAACATTTCAAACATTAATTTTAAATTTCAAACTTACTTCAACATCAATTAAATAAATATATTATTTAATATTTTTAAAGTTAGTAATATGCTTTCTTCAAAAGACCTTATACCCTATATATTTGTATGCCCCAGCTCTAATGTTGGATATGTTAGTGAAACCACCAAGCGCTACACAAGTTTTAGAACATTTAAATTCTGATAAGACCATATTTACAAACATCTTGCTTTATTACAAAAATGCAAAAATTCAACAAATCTCAGTTCCTTTTTCATTATTGAAAAAGCTTCCTAGGAGTATGAACTCAGAATTTAAGAAGGTATTCATATTAAAAGGGAAAAACTTTACTCAATACTTGGGTTGTTCGCTGAAGTATAAGATTTGAATATACGGTAGACAAAAATGCAAAAATTTCGCATTTTTGTCTAAAGTAACACTCCTGGTGGATAACTGTTCTGCCCACCCACACATTGAAGGGCTAAGCAACATCAACCTTATATTTTTCCCCCCTAATACCACATCTGTCCTTCAGCCCATGGATCAAGGCGTAATACGTAGTCTTAAAGCTCATTATCGTCACAAAATTGTGCGTTTGTGTATCAAGGCTGTCGATAATAACGAACCCATGCCAAAAATTTCTATGCTTCAAGCAATGAAAGATCTTTTTTCTTCGTGGAATGCTGTGTCCAAGGAGACTGTTATCAACTGCTTTAAAAAAGCTGGTATCAGCAAAACAAACAAGAGTATTAAAGAAGCTGATGATGATCATCCTTTTAAATTTTTGACAGAAGAACTTAATCGTTTGCGAGAGTTAGATCCTCGTGCCGTCCAAGAAGATCTCTCAGCGGAATCTTACATTGGTTTAGATTGCGATGTAGTAACCACCGGTTCACTTGCTACTGATACTGAAATCATTGCTCAGATTTTAGACCCTAATTTTGAAAACGACGATAATGAAGTTGAAGATAGCGTTGACGAAGCCATTGACGTCGAAGCCCCGCCACGCCCATCTGATATTCAATTAAAAATTGCTTTTGAAACGATTCAAAATGCTTTGCTATACAGCTCAAAATACGGAAATGAAATACAATCCCTAGCACTAAAACTTAAGGATTTAATAAAGATGGAAAAGATGGATAATTTAAAGCAATATCAGATAACAGATTTTTTCCAAAAGTTGTAGTTTTTGTTGTTAATGGTTTTTGTCAGAACAATAACTTGTTTTAATGAAAGTCGGGCAATTTTATTTATTTTCAACCTTTTTCTTGATATCTCGAACTCTCGATATCTCGAACTTTTTTTCCGGTCCCTTTAGTGTTCGAGATATCGAGAGTCGACTGTAATATTAAATTAGAATTAAAGAAACAATGAGTAAAGCAACGAAAAGTTCAATCTGGGACTATTTTGATATTGATGAAAATAATCGCTCAAAAGCAACTTGTAAATTTTGCAAAATGAAAATATTAAGAGGAGGAACATCTGGCAAAAAAATGACAACATCTAATTTAAGAGGGCATATGAAAGCAAAACATATAAAAGTTTTCCAGAAAGTAGAAGATCTAAAATGTTTCAAAAAAATTAACACAGAAGAAAAAAATGTTATTGCATCTACTTCAACAAGTAAAGAGAATAATAATAGCAAAGTATCCGTTAACAACAGTGTTACAGTTATTCTAGATCAAAAACATCAATCTAAGCTTGAGGAAACTATTAATAAGCATAGGAAATGGACTTCAAGTGAACAAAGAGCTCAAAAAATAACTATGCTTATCGGAGAAATGATATGTGTAGACATTCAGCCGTATTCTTTAGTTACAGATCAAGGATTTAAAAAACTAATTATGCATCTTGAACCAAGGTATACCATGCCCTCTAAAAAACATATGACTGAAACAGTTGTTCCTTTAATTTATGAAAAAATGAAAATGCAAATTATGAGTGATGTAGCAAAAGCAAATTTTTTGAGTTTTACCACTGACGGATGGACTACACATCACAATGATGTAAGCTTTTATTCATTAACAGCACACTGGATAAACTCAGAGTTTAATTCTATGACAGCTGTGCTACAACTTAAAAAAATAACAGGCTCTTATACAGGTGTAAAGATATCAACATTTCTAAAAGACTCTTTAAATGAATGGAAAATACCTACTAACAAAGTGTACTTTGTCCTGTCTGACAATGCTGCTAATATGAAATTAGCCATAAAAGAAGCTGGTTTAGAAAAAAATTCTCTAAGTTGTGTAATCCATACTCTTCAGCTTTGTATAACCAATAAGCTTTTCAAACACCAAACAATTGTAAATGATCTTATAGCTAAGTCTAGAAAAATTGTCACACACTTTCATCATTCTTCGTCTTCCATGGATATGCTACATGAAATTCAACAACAGCTAAAGTTACCCCAACATTCACTTATACAAGATGTAGTAACAAGATGGAACTCGACAGTTTACATGCTAGAAAGACTAGTTGAACAAAAAACTTCACCAACATTATTTTTTATTAGAAATCAAAAGTGTAATGCCTCTAATCTTAATGAAGACCAATGGTTATTAGCTGAGACGCTTATCTTAGTTTTAAAGCATTTTGAGGTGGCTACACTAGAGATAAGTGAAAATAGGGCATCAGTGTCTCAAATTATTCCATTTATAGTTTCAATGGAAGCGTACCTAGTCTATGCTTCAGAAAATGCAGGTGAAATAAAAACTATAATAGAAGAGTTGAAAAAAGATTTCAAGGTTTTAATATACAGCTATAAATATAACAAAAACTTGAACATGTCTAGAGTTTTAGATCCAAGATTCAAACTTAGTTATGCCATATCAGATGAGGAGAAAGACACAATAAAATCAAATATTCAAGAGAAATACATGAACCTAAATAAAACTGGTATAACAGATTGCCTTTTAACTACCGACAACTTAACTTAATCAGATAATGAAACAAACACTTCATCTGAATTAACCCAAGAACCTAGCTCTCCACTCAAAAAATTAAAAATGGCAGAAAACATATAAAATTTTTATCAAGTTTCAAAAGCACCTCTTGACACTGAATTAACAAAATCAACAAAAGTAAAGAACTGTAAAAAACTTTCAACAGAGGCACAAATTTATTTAGAGAAAAAGAAAAATATGTAAGTTAAAATGATTTTTTTAAATAAGAACTTTGATAACTTTTTGTTCTTTTCTAATTTATAATAAATTATTATAGATAAAACTAAATTCTAAATTATCATAAACAAATAAAAGTTGGAAAATAAAATGAAATAAAATAATATTACTAATATTCATTAATATTTAACAACTTTTAATAAGAAAAATTCTTACTTTACATTTTAGTTTAGTTTTTATATTTTTTGTTTACTTACTTTTCTTTTAGAACTGACGAAATAAACTTTTACTTTATCACTGCCTAATCTGCATAAAAAAGAATGTCCATATAAATGGTGGGGAAATTAAAAAAATACATGTATAAAGAAACACTCTAGTAGCAATAATATTTTAGACCTCTCATACCTTGCCAAAAAATATTTAGGAGCTCCGCCTTCTTCTGTGTTCAGTGAAAGATTGTTTAGTACTGGGGAAATATTTATGAATCGACACGGTCCCGACTAACTGCAGAACATGGAGAAAACCTAGCTTTTGTGCATGCGAATTGGAAATTTTTTGGAGAAACGGAAACAAAAAAATAGATTCACAGTTTTATATAACATATTTTATTACTTTTCATAACATAATAAAAATTTATAATTATTTTTAACATAACGCAAGTTGGTTTATTATGTTTTAAATATGTTATACTTTATGTTTATATTTTTAAATGTGCATTTCTTGATTTTAAACTTCTTTGTAGAGTTTTGGATCCATAAGTTATATAATTAATGTACTAAATTATAAGAAAACTCTAAAAAAGTAGAGAGCCCTGTTAAAAGCACTCAAAAATTTTTAGTTTAGTGGTTGCATATATGCCTATATAATAACTTATTATTAATAAGTTAGACTTATACATTGTATTTATGTTTATGGCGTAATTCTATGTTTGGATATAATATAGAAACACAGAATCAAAAATAAAATTTTAAAACAATCGGCATCGGCCGATGGTTATCAAGGCCGATGCCGATGCATCGGCTAAATGGTCGATGCATCGGCAGGCTGATGCCGATGCATCGGTTTACCCCTATTAAGTATCATATCCGCTAAAAACATATTAGAGCGAAACTTTGAAAGATTTTAACAATCAGTTTCCTAACATGGCAATGACAATAGTAAACTTCTTTTCAGTTTTTGACATTGCTTTGAAAGTGTGGTCTTATTCCATTCCAGAAGCGCTTGATTATACAGAGCTTATAAATTCTTCTTCAACTGTTTTGATCACCGACAAAGACGACTTTCTTTTGTCGCCTTCGTCTGCATCTTCAACTGAAGTGTTTACTTTTTTGAGGTGCTCTAACAAAATAGAATCATTATTAATAGAGAATATTCTGGTAACATATAACGAAGACGATTAGAAGAGGGTAATGACGTTGAAGGTGATGTGACTGCTTCAGGTCAGGAATGGAATGTATATAGGTGGTTGCATACACATATAAATAAAAATAACATCTCCATACCCAAATCATTGCCCAAATTGAAATGCAGATGACCTAACACCAAATGAAACTAAAGAAAACACTACAACTACTAAGAAAATACAAACCTTCAATAACTATACTTCTAGTATGCATAAGAATATCTGAAAGAACATAGATTGTGTCAAACATGTACAGTATATGACACTTATCCCAATAACTACAAAATCTGATAATCTAATATCTGGAGAATCAAATGCACTGGTTGAATCAACGAGATGTTCAAAGAAAAAATGAAGAGAATAAAGTAAGAAAAAAAACGAGAAAAAATACACAGAAATTAAAAAAATATGCGTCAATGGCTTTCCCCAAAAGAAGCCAAATCTCTGAACCTGACTCTAACATTGAATTTGAAATAATTTAATTGTAAGTTTCTGATTTTTATTTTATTATCTTACAAAAATTTAATATGATTGTTTGATTTTCTTTTTAACATAAGCGTAAGATATAATTTCAATGCAATTTTAGAATAATAACTTAACATAGGTATTACTAAAAAACTTTATATAATTAGGTATTACTTAAAAACTTTACATAGTTGGGTAATACTAAAAAACTTTACATAGTTAGGTATTACTAAAAAACTTTACATGGTTAGGTATTACTAAAAAACTTTACATAGTTAGGTATTACTTAAAAACTTTACATAGTTAGGTATTACTAAAAAACTTTACATGGTTAGGTATTACTAAAAAACTTTACATAGTTAGGTATTACTAAAAAACTTTACATAGTTAGGTATTACTAAAAAACTTTACATAGTTAGGTATTACTAAAAAACTTTACATAGTTAGGTATTACTAAAAGAGTGCTGCTTAAATTTTAATATAACGTCCCCCCCCCCCCCCCCTGAAGCTATTATGTTTTTTTATAGAGCGCGAGAACCAAATAAAATTAAGATATTTATATTACACTCTTAAACAAAATAAATATAAAAGAAAGATCGCTTTTTCTATTTTCTGAATCTTTTTTTCTTTTTATGTAAACATTGTGAACTTTTTTTTAGTTTATCTATGCCGTTTATTGCTATGACGTTTTTGTTCTCCTATCGAGATGACATTTTACAAATTCTTATATTTTTAATTAATAAAGAATTTCGGTAAACGACTTCATTTATTAGAGATATTTGCTGAATTCTTAAATTTTTAGTTAGAAAATATTTATAGATTTTACACTTACCAAATTTACAGATAGTTTTTAATTAATTAAAGCAATAAATAATGTTTTATAGCAATAACTAAAGACAGATGGCGATCAAAATCGCAGCGCGCTTTAAAAAACATTTTTTTTTTTAAGTGTTTTTTTTAAGCGTTTTTTTTTTTGTTTTTTTTTTAAGCGAAGAGTTTTGTCATATATTAAAATTTACAATGAAATAAATCGTGTCAATAAGAGAACTGGGGCAAGCAGAAGACATAAATTGTCTTATCATCAAGCCCCATCATAAAATTTACACTAAAAAATCGTCAGTTAATATAAAAAATGAGAAGTAGCTAAGTACATAACAAGACTTTTAAATACGTTAGTTACAATATAACTAATAACATAATATAAATATTAGTGTTGAAATATAACGCATTATATCAAAGATTGACAATAATTTAAAAATTTTAAAATTTTTCAACAAAAAATTAAATTAGATTAAAATTGCAACAAAAGAGAAGTAGTGTCAATAACTATTTTTTTAGATCATTTATATTATTTGTGTATTATTTTTAAAAGAGATATTTTAAATCAAAGTCTTTTTGTAATAAGAGATTCTTAGATTCTTTTTTAAATTTTTCCAAAGAGATGTAATAAACATTATTATTTTTTGTGATAAATTTTGAAAAATGTTTCCATAGAAACGGTCCGCGGTATTGGATTTAGATTGAATTAGTTTTTGGAACAATAAAGTTATTAATTGAAAATTCAGTAGGATACTTGTACAAAATTTCACTAAAGTAAGACTGAAATACAATAGGAGAGAGTTCATTATATTGTATTTAATACTTTTCAATTTATGTCATGTTTGGCAGTTATTTTATATCAACCTGTCCTATAAAATTACAAATCAAAAAACTACCAAAATTGGCAATAAAAAGTTTTTCATTAAACGATTTCAATTTAAAAACTTACTCGATACATGTTTTACAAAATAAATTTCATTAAATATATTCTCGCATGATTAAATAAGAATTTTGAGAATACTTGGTAAAATATGAAAAGTTGAGCAAATAAGTGCTGTTAATTAAACTTTCATAAGGTTAACTCTTTCGCTACCAGCCGTTTTAACAAAAATATTTACGCTACATCCACACATTTTTTTGAATAAAATTTGAAAGGCATTGACAACTAATTAAAAATTGATTTGTAAATCTTATAAATAGTAATTCAAGGGGCGAATTAAGTGATCGCGAATTGAAAATTCCGTTAAAAATTCTGGTCTTTAAATTTTTAGTTTCTTACGAATAGGGAAATATTCGTAAGGAAAACACTAAATCCAATCCTTCAAAGTGCAATCTAAATTTTACTGACCGATGTGATTACCAACGGAAACACAGTTGTATTTTAAAATAAAAGAAACTCTGAGATTTTTAATAACATTTAATAACATTTGTATTTAATATTTATTATTAATAATATTTTTGTTTAATATCAATTTGATAACATTTATATCACATTGTAAATGCCGTAATCGGATCGTCCGAAAAAAACGCGAAAAAAAAAACAACAAATATTGAAGACCAGAAACCCTTTACGGAATTTTCAATTCGATTATTTAATTCGCCTTTTTCAATTAAAACATTTCCATAACAAAACTCATTTAATTTATAAAGAGAATGTTTTTCGAAACGAAAAAACCCCAGCAATTTGCGGTAAAAATTTGAAAAAATCAAAAGCCGCTGTCAGCGGCCTGCAGTAGTGTTGAATAATACAAAGTTTTTTTTTTAAACAGAATCTTAATAAGGATGATAATCATTTAATAACAATAAATATAACACAAAAAATAATTTATAGCAATAGATAAGCTTAAAATATCTGAAATATTTTGTATTTTTAATGCGAGCTTTCCGAAAGTTTAAAAATAAAATAACTAAAGAAATTCTACAGTAATTTATGATAAAAAAAAATTTTTTTATATAAAATAAGTAACTAAAAATATTCTTTATTCATCTATAATAATAATTTAAAAAAATTCTATAAGCTACTGTGGAAACGGCGAGCTTTGAGTAAAACAACAAAGTTTGTTTTTGTTGGTATACATTTATTATTTTGTGTTACTTGAAAAAATTCAAATAGTATTGATACTTTAGCAAA